TGAAGCAACTGCCATGTGATTGGTTGATTAGATAATTGCATTAATGAGAAATTGAACAGGTGTTCCTAATAATCCTTTAGGTGAGTGTATTTTGTATTATAGTGTCTGAAAATTCTATGTTTCTATACAAATCATATAGGCCTACAAATCATATTAGCTGGACCTTTTACCGAAATAGCATAAATTTATCCTGACTTCAAACCTGATAGTATTCACAAATGTTGGAGATCTCAGTAAGAAAATCACATATTCCCACAGAGTATTACATCTCTCTCTCTTGGTTTCTGTGTTCATCCTTATCGTATGAAGACCTTGCCTTATATGGCATACTTACGCACACCATTGACTCGGCAATGTGATTCTTGAGCTTTGTAACCTCCTCGCTACCAACATACAACTTCCGGCAATGCTGTTGTAGTGCCCACATTTCGCCGCATGGTGTCACGATCTGCGCATTTTGTGCTACAGTTCAATCGTATCCTTGGGACTAGGGCCGTTTATACCCAGCGTTGGTAATTTAGAATGAGTTTCTTGTGGACTGAGGTTACGTTGTGTCTAATCATGTTTTGCTGTGTTACGTTGATAAAAATTATATAATTTACCTTTTATCGCTCCTCCCCAAACCAGTCAGGGCTGGACTGGGGTTAAAAACCGACCCAGATCTTGGTGGTTACACACGATAAGTTTTGTCGAGAGTGGGAGAGGAGATCCTCCCACGATGAATTTTGCCGAGCAGGGGAGGATAAATTTTGCATGCCCACAAACCGATCAGCCCACCTGGAAAATGAAAGGTATGCTTGCGTACACAGGAATTGGACCAGCTGGCTGACCGACTTTAACTTGTACTCTTTAATCGCAGATTTGTTATCGCGACTCTAATCTAAATTAAAATTAAATTACTTTTTAAAATCGAAATAGCAAACGTAACGGTCAGGGGTGAGTTTCCCGAAGCCTTCTTAACGCTACGTCGTTCGTTAGTTCTATCTTTTAACACAGAACTTAAGAACGACGTAGCGTTAAGAACGCTTCGGGAAACTCACCCCAGATTATTTGATTATTCATTATGCCAGAAGAGTTTTGTGGACAGGGACAGGCTGAATAAAAACCGTATTAGGAAACTCCTGTCCTGGCTGGTTTTACTCCTCTGTCTCTCTTTCTCTCGCTCTAGGACCACGGGTCCTTAATTCATACCCCTTCTTTGAGTTGTGGGTTTGATTTGCACACTTCGCTCCGCGTGTGTGACGTTGGTTAATGTGTTCCCCCCGTCACGTGTGTTTCCTCTGAGTATTCTGCTTTTCCATAGTCTAAAGACGTGCAGTTTGTATGTATGGGTTCCCTGTGATGGATGGGCACCCAATCCAGAATGTTCTCTTGCTATGTGGATAGCCTTCGAGCTTACCCCGCCCTTGGTAAGTGGTCATACAACATGTAACCTGTTGATGTCCATGTTCTCCAAATCTACCTTTGAATTTGTGTGTCCCTGTACATAGGCTACATGACATTCATTTACTGACAAGTTTAAAGATATTAATATATGAGGTACAATTTTCACTGAAATTCTGGTTTTAAGTGACTTAAGTGTTATTTGTAAGGTTTCTAATTTCAAAAACCATTATTTCCTTGCTGCTGTTTCCAGTGATCAGTGATATTTCAGTGTTTGCCATATTGAGTGCCAGGATTCCAGTGAAATTCTGACTGTGGCCTGACACAAAACTGGACACTTGAAATGTTCTTTTTAAGTGCTACATTTTCAGTCTCTGCTGAAATGATCAGCTTCTAATTCCCCAAAATAATTAACAGTCTGAAATATAGTTGCGTCAGTTCTCGAGTTATAGGGGTTACAATTCTACCTCTGCTCCGTGTGTGTCTGGTTTACATAAATTGTTAAATGTTTTGAACTGCACTGAAACGCAAAAAACTCGAAATATCCTAAAGAATAATAAATACCTTTGCAGAATCGTTTATTGTAACTGGTTATTTCAGCAAAGCGAATGTGATAAACATGGTTACACCTATGACATTTGTATCTGATACTTGTCCGGTTTTTAATTCAAAACTTGCATTATGACTGCACCAGTGAAGATTACGGTGGAAAACAAATACGAAAGAATCAACTTCATTCCATTACATTTATAATTTGCCACAGGCAGCGTCATTCTTCCAACCACGAACGCGCACGCACACCGCGCGGTGGACGTCAAATGGCGGCGTAGGCAACCAATACGGAGAAAGGGGTAATAAAGAAGGTGCCCTACCGACTATGGGCGTGGCTTACGGTTCATGGGGCGTGTCGGTATTAGAGACGGCCAATTGGAGGCGTAGGAGGCGGAGCGCTGCCACACAATGCTCGGTTGTCCACAGGGTGGCTATACAGAATGAAAGCGGAATGTTTCGCAGGTGTAAACTTCTTTTACCCCGTTCTTGTGCGCTGCGCTCTCGGAAATCAGTCGGCACCGGCCACTGGACTTTTGTGATTTAGAAGTTTTTGCTACGCTGATTTTTTTCAACGGTGGGGAACGACATTATTTACAAGCTTTCTGCGGAGGACTCGAGTCAGGTAGCTCAATCGCACGTTTCTGGATTTCGGCGTGTAAAGACAGTGACAGCTGGGCGTCCTGTAAGCGGCGTGCCGATCTGGGGAAAGGAGTGATTAGCAACGCGCTTTCCGCCGTGCATCGCTTCGGTCTGTCTCCCGTCGGGAAGGTTTTCGGACGCGGCTTGTTTTACAAGCACCCTTTGCTCATCTGCTGCTTCAGCGATATTGTCGTCGTTTTAAGACTGACCGGAATCGGTTCCTATAGCCCGATCTCGTGTATATAGCTAAACACTTCTAATGAAAATCTTCCGCAACTTCGGGATACAGCGGCAAGACCGAGGTTTTACTGCTTTTAGTAAAGTATGTTAACAATTTATCTCGGGTTACTGCATTGGAATTTCAATGCGCAGCTGTCACTGAAGTAGCGAGGTCCGGGGGGCGGTTTTTGCTGCAGCTCGCTACATGTCATTTACACCAGTATAACGCAGACACAACCCTGTTACACACGTGTGCTTTTAAAAAATGTACTCAATAAACTGAGTATTATTACATGCCACGCCTTTGCTTACATTGGTCCAGTCAAACTGGAAGACAGATTTCCGTTTTGTTTAAATTACGGTTTATACTGTTTAACCTTGACACGAAGTCGTGTGGCTATTTTTATGGTAAAATTCCCCTACTTTCTGGGTGCTGTATTGTCGAAATGACGGAATTTCCCTGCGGTAAGCAGGGTGATTGCTGGGCCGAAGGAGCGAGCCACCCATTGCTGCGGCCGGGTGGGGTTAGGGCAGGGCCTGTCAATCCTATAGGCGACCCCCTAGGGCACCAACATCTGTGGGGGCGCCGTCTTGCCTGCCACATTCACATTGCCTCAAGTGAGTGGGTGGGGGGGGGCGCCGGCGTTGATGCTCGCCTAGGGCGCCACATCGGCTAGAACCGGTACTGGGTTAGGGGACCCATAGATTACCTTGTCGCAAAGAGGTCATCGTTACGGGGCACCATATTACTAACCTTCTCATTGTCTGGCCTTAAATGTATAGGGATCTTTTATGTAATTTTTTTGTCGCATTGAAAGGTACTCAGAATAGCATTGCATGTTATAATGACCTCCTGTATCAGGAAAACGAATTAACAGCGCTTAGACCGACACAACAATAGAAATGTTTCACTTTTATAGGGAACTGACTCGGCGTACCTACTGGCCAGTTAAGCTCCATATTTGGATGTGAATATGTTTTACAATTTTCCCGGTGCTCTAAATTTCTGGAAAGGCATCTGACGTCTTTAGGTGGTTACAGGAGCTTGATCGATGTCGGAGGGATGTTTGGCCAAGCGCCTGTAGTCATGCGAATAAACGCTATATGGCCGCTCCCGTCCTACAGCTGAGGCGCTTTAAGTAAGTGCCGGAAGCAGCACACGGGGAAAATGATGGTTTTTGAACAGGCCATTGGGAACCTAAAGGAGATACTACCCAAGGTTTCAGTCTAGGCATATTCAGATATGATTATACATGCTTAAGTAAACAGACAAATGGAATTACTGATATGGATTACTGAATGCACATGGAAATTTCTGTGCTTTGGTGTAGCTTGCAATTCGTGTTCATTTGTCTCCATTTCCCTCCCATGAACTCAAATCGATACCGGATGATTTGGATCTGGTGACATTCGCTGGATTCGCTCCGGGATTGCCACGGTGAGTACATCTTTTCCCAGCAAATGATATCTGTCTCTCACTCTGTTGTGATATGATAAAATTATCCGTCCTTTTCTGTGGCAAGTTAGAAACCGCTTTTAATTGGCTCGTTTTCAGTCCTGAGGTCAAGTGAGTTTCTAGTCATTTACTGGAAGCATAATATTGTTCTGCAGTGAAACACAATCTTCCGCTAATTTTGATAATTAGGTAAAGGTGACCTTAAGTATGATTGAAATCCGCTTTTCTGAAGGAGCTCAGGGAGGTAATTGAATGGGACGGATTTTAAGTTTAACAGATCCTGGCGTTTCCTGGCTTGATTTGCCTTGGCGCTTAATCCCTGTGTCCGGATTAAGCACCAGCAGCAGTGTGGGAGTTACAGTCGCTGTGAGGTTGAAGATGTTCACAGCTGCCTCTGACACTGATTGTCATTGTTGAGCTGAAGTGTGTTTGTGTCTTTTTTTTTTTGTGAGCAACACCCCCCCCCCCCCCCCACAGCTTAATTGTTGAACATGCCCTTTGTGCAGAAAACAATCACTGGATAATAGAATCACAATTGATCCACAAAAATCAATTACATCTCTTTTTATTCTAGTAACCAAAGATGTGATCCATTATTTGAAAGACTCACAGGCAGAATACATTTTAAGAACCATGATTCATGATTGAAATATCTGGCTTCTGCTAAAAAAAAGTCTGCTTGTTGAACATGACAAGGGGATTAAACAGCCTGTTTTGACAGTCTTTGCAAAAGCAGTTCCCTTTTTGCTGAGCTGTTTATTTGGTCATTGAATTCTGTCTGGGGCAGATCCCAGATCAAGCATGTGTGAATGAAAGAAACCAATGGCTTGGAAGGTGTGGTTTAAGTGTTTCAGAAAAATAGGGAATGGGTAATCTGAAGTTAAGCAGCTTGGAATGAATGTATGTTTGAAATGCGGTCTGGATGTCTGGCAGGAAATCAGAAGTGAGGACCTGACAAAATTGCTGACAAGTTTTGTTCCTGAGGGAATTAGCATTGTGGCAACATCCTCCGATAGACGAGGAGGGTAAACTTCAATCAGTTCCTGCTGTATCAAGGATTTTCCAGTCATATGTCATGCATTTTCTTTGTAATCTCTGACATCAGCGATTCCCCCAGCGAGGGCAGAGTGCATGGCTGGGATCGTCTCCATGACGACACGCGTCCCCTCGCCGTTCTTCGGTCTGCACGGGCCCGTGTCGGGGCGCGCTCTGCATCCCGCTGCCGGACGCCACGCGTGAGTGGGATGGGCTCGCGTCCCTTCCTGCAAGTCGTAGCCGAAAGGCCGGATTACTGGGATTCCACCTTGGGGTGTGTGGCAAACCTCTTTCAGTTACTGCTGATGAGGCTTAAATAAGTATGGGGGAACTGAAAATGGGGGAAGTGGGGAAGTGTGATAACTGATTCATTCTTTTTTCCTACCGGTGTGGTTTGGTGGATGTCAGTTAGTGTTAGTTGATCACTTTTTTTTTTTTTTGGGGGGGGGGGGGGGGGGGTTGTCATTCAGTTTAAGCCCCCAAACTGAAATGTCAGTATTCCAAAATCGTTTTGACTTGAGCTGGGAACAAAGATGGGAGCGGTTGGCGGATTCTAGAACGCCTCCGGGGGTCCCGTCAATCCGTTTGGTGCTTTCTCAAACCGTTGATTCGTTTTTATCAGGTAATTCATATTTTTGGAAGCACCTGTTGCCTTTTCACAGTGTCGTTTAGTCGTTGCATTTGAAAATGCGTCTTTCTGCGAGCTGGTGGCAAAAACTACCACCGGTGGAGGTAATCCTGGTTAAACGCTGAGCGAGCTGAAGTGAAGTGTCCCCTTGGGGCGCCTGCCTTGATGAATATGATGGTGGATTGTTCTCGACACCCAGCGTCCTTCATGATGCTTCATAGTAGGAGTGATAGCAGTTTTGTGTTCGTTTTACCCTGGGAAGATCGGGAAGTGGTTTTGGTGGCGTGATTCTGTCATCTGCAGTTTTTTTTCCTTGGTGTTTGTGTTTAAGTTGAAGTTCTTGTTCCTTATATTGCTGAGTCTGTGCAAACTGGTTTCATCCTCAGAACCTTTGGACAGTCGGTGCAGACGTGTGGGCAAAGGGCACCTTCCCTTCCTTGGGTTCCTGGACGCGTTATTCAAAAACACGTGAGAATAGTGCAGAGGTTTGCGTTTTTTTTTTTTTTTTTCTCCCTTCCTCCTCCTGGGCCAGTTTGAAGAGGTGAAAATGGCTAGTACTCACTAAACAGCTGATAAGGTCGGTCCCAGCGGTGACTCAATAAGAGCACAGAGTGAGGCAGCTCTAACTGAGGCCTGAGTGATCTTCTCAGAACATGGAGCCTTTTTCCTTTTAAGAAGGGATGACTCTTTCATTATTGTGGTTTATTTATAGTTGAAAATAGTGCTCTGTTTTTTTTTCCCCCTTCTAAGTAGCTTTCTAATTAGACGCTGCCAAAATTTACTTTCTCTATCTTACATTAATTTAATGTGATTAACCATAACCATGCAGTTGACCTGATGAAGGTGCCCCCTCCCTTTAAAAGCGACACGTGATTTTTCATCCCCACAGATAAAAATGTATTGATCTTCTCATGGGTGTGCATTGATCTTCTCATGGTGTGCAGACCTATTTAGCATGTTGTGATATGAACGTCGACTCTGCTGGTATCTGATACTCGGATTGATTCGGCGTGACATTTCTTGAGATATTAAGATCTCTTGAGCCGCTCCGGTGACTCTGTCCCCAACAGAGAGATCTTCCCCTACGTAAATTGTGACGTCTGTTTAATTTAGCATAGTCACGTAAAGCGTAGCTTTATAGTTTATTTTCTTTAAAAATGCCAAGGAAAGGTTTTGTTATAGAAGAGTGCCGTTTTATTTATACGGAAATATACGTTCTAAATTTAGTGCATGAAAAGCGTACTCGTGTTGTAATATTCTCCAGCCTTATTAACAATGACGTGCTGATGTAGGAATGTAATGGGAGTCTGTGTGGTGTTGACTCTAAATAAAGAGCATTTTAAGCCTCACTTTGTGCTTAACGAGCCTTTTTAAATTAGAGTCTAAGTGGTGAGCTTTTCTGTTTTCATGAGGGTGACTTTTTTTGTTTAGGGAGATGATGGGTACCCCTGGAGAAGACCCAGCCAAAATCACCACAGAATAACCAAAGGTTCCTTCTCTATCTGATGTGTAAAGAGCCGTGTTTGTACCTTTGTAACAACCTGGTGGCTTTGGGCTGGCTTGGTAGCAAACACCAGCTGTGCGAGGGAACACGTCTGCCCCCGCTGCAGAAACCTAGCCATGAATTAACACGCTTCACCAGCCGAAACTACGCCATGCGGAGGCGCGTCCGTGGCGATGCACTACGCCCTTTCTGGAGGGTGTGAGAGTGTGGCTTATGGAGGTATTGGGTACTTAAAATGACAGGTGATTATGTGGCGGGATGCGGGCCAGGCTCATTAGCACCGGGACGACCCACGTCAGCTTGCGGGAACGCCGGCAGTTTGATGAGGCAGCTCAATTTCTGGGCGAGCTCTGGCAGGGTAACGTTTCCCCCTTCCTGACCTCCTTCTGCCTTTTGTCTCAGCTGTTTACTGCTTTGATTTTTGTATCCAAATTAACACTCTCAGAGTTAATTGGAGTGTAGTTCAACACTGTAAGAGTTAACTTAATACCTCTGGTTTTACTGGTGGGGCTGGGTATTCCTGCCTTTCGGAAAGCACAGAGAGTCTCTGCGGTAGTCATGTTCATTCATACAGACGGAGCCCATACTGGCTGATCAGGTATCGTCTGTGGGCAGGTAGGCTGTGTGCCCAGGCCTGTCCGCTGGTTTACCAAAAGGACTCTGCCCTGTGGTAAAGGAACGTGCTTGCACCGTGTGGATTCTGCACAGAGAACGCTAACAGAGGCCTGAGTTAGCCAGACAAGAAGATGCTGAGATTTGTAGATCTGCCCGAGGTTTGGCATCCTAAACCGCTCCTTCACGTCTCCAATGGTGCAGCCCCTGAGAGTGATTGAGGCTCAGCCCTTATTGAGTATCAGGATTATGTGCTGGATAAGCATTAGGAGGATGGATGGATGGATGGATATATCATGATTATTACTCTCATAAGGAATATGTCTCAGATTTTGAGTATTAGAGCCCAGCCGTGTGTTTTTGTGCAGAGCTGCACCTGGCTGGCAGTACTATGTACAGGGGTGGACTAACTTTTCTGGGGGGTAGTAGATAGGAATAGGGGGGTCCTAATTGGGCCATTCAAGCAATTTTTTGGAGCTGTAAGAGAAATGGGAGGAGTTAAAAACGAAGGACCATCAGTAATATCTTAATGAAAGTGTGGGGTGGGAATGCTGTTGGTAAAATTCACTGACTGGGGGGAGGGGATATCGTGCCGGCCGACTGATCCGCAAAATTAAAGAAGCTTACCTGTTCCCTCTTTTGCTAAGGTTGGGATAAAAGACACAAGATAAATAATGCTAGTCTTGTAACTTTGTGCTGTTTTAATCTTCTGTTTGGCTACTTTGTGTCAGTTCGCTTGGCAGTGAAACAATCAGTAGATAGACACCAGTAAGAAAGCTGGGTAGCGTGATGTCTCAAAGTGGAACAGTCCATTACGGCGGGATGGGGGGCAACTTTGTCTATCCTGAAAACTGTCATTAAAAATTCAAATAACAGACGTTGCTATAATTTGAATGATTATATTATGTTATGTCATTAAATGTAATTTCGGGAAATTCTATGTCCAGGGGCCCAAAGCGGCTGCCTACCTTTTACCTTTGGGTAAGTTTGCTTCTATCTGTGTTGGCTCCCCCTCCTCGGAGGAACTATTCCCCCTGAGCACAAAACAGGGCATATCCCAGTTGTGAGTCCAGGTGCATGCTGGGAGCCTTCGGGTTGCACGGCTGCACACCTCACACCGGATCCATTTTGTGGTCCCCTGATGCACAGTGGCTCATTCAGAAACCAACCAATCAGAGAGCGGGAAGGCAGGTTGATCATCATTTTGAATAAAAACAATCTAAGTATTTTTCATTGGCAGGTGCCATATGAATGCACCCTAACCCCCACCCCGTTCTGTGCACTGATGAAATGGAGTACAGCCTGACGCCACCCTCTTGGGCTCTCCTGGGATGAATTTAAAAGACCCAGCCGGTCTTGTGCTTAATGTCATATGGCACAACTTCTGCTAAAAGGTTTCTTCTGACAGAGAGAGGGCCCGAATGTAAATAACTGGGGACTGCGTCAGCTTAATGGGGAAGCGGGGTGGGCTCTCTGTGTCCCTGTCGTTACCAGCAGGGGGGCAGTGGCGTTGACGTAAGGTGGGTCACTGAGACTCAAGGTTTGAAAAGCTGGCTTTTTCAAGCTCACAAGAAGTTTGTTCACACACTTTCCTTTCTAGTTATTAGGGATGGACTGATCCACATTTTTTCAGTTCCGATCCGATTTCAACACACAACTGTCGATACCGATTCCGGTACAACAGCTCTTTTTACTTTAGTGTGTGTGTATGTGTGTATGTATATATGTATATACATACATACATACATACATACATACACACACACACACACACACACACACACACACACACACACACACACACACACACACACACACACAAATGTATGCTAAAAAATCTTTAATTAGGCTACTAGATACATACATAGTGTATTTCAGTGTTTTTGAGGCAATCGCAGTTCCATATGAATATCTTCCACCTGAGGATACGCAAGCGGCGAATGCTTAAAATTCTCCCATTTACACACTCACACTGCTAGTGTATCACATGCTGTAGCAAGTGCACAAAACAGCCTTAGCCATCGACTCCTGAATCATCCACTGCTTATTTCATAAACACTACTTCCACCTCTCAAAACTTTTTTTTTTTTCTTACAAAGATTGCAAATCGCTGTGCTGCTTGATAAAAGCGTAAAATACTTCCAGATTGTCACCCTCTTATCTGATGTTCTTTAGCCTTCAGCTTGAATAGTGCAACATCTAAAATAGGAAAGGACTGTCACGCGATTGATTGTAAATATATCTCCTATTGCGTGTTAAATCTATCTTTTTACAGACTGCGGAAAACTAAATAAGTAAGTATTGGATGTGGATCGGTCACATGTGGCCGATACCTGATCCATCTAATAGGTGTGGATCGGTGCTGATACTGGTCTGAATAGCGAATTGTTGCACGTCTGGTTATTATTACTATATATAATCTTTAAGCCTGAGGGTGATTCCCTCCTCTAAAGGTTACCGCTGGCTGCTGTGTGTCATCATTAGTATCCTGCGGTCTCTCGGCTCTGCACAGTAAAAAGAGCAGTGTTTCAAATTACCTTCCCCATTTCTCTGTGGGGTTCTGTTTCTAACCCCTG